GTCGACCGCCTGTTGGATCATACTCAAGGCTCCAGTCACCAAGACTCAAAAAACAAGAAGCTCTGAAAAGAACTTTAAAAATATTTTCTTGTAATTTTATTTTATTTTTTTAATGAAGCAAACAACAAACATTCAACATCAGCTTCAGGTTTTCTTATGGAGTTTGACCTTATTTTTGCAGACGATGACATAAATGATGTTCTGAGCTCACTGGTTCCTTTCGGTGAAGTCCAACACCCTCTGGGAAAATCATCCTCCTTTATGATAAACACATTTAGACAGGAAGTAGATCGTTTCTAGTCTCAAACTTGGACGGATCATTTTCAGAGTCTCACAAAGTCGTCTTTATGTTCATAACTTTCACCAGATCATCGTTGAGATGTTTGACTCCCGAGGAGTAACAGACGTGATCGAGAAGCTCTCTCTGAGCTCTTCGCCCCTTCATGAAGTTTGGTCTGTTTTTATATCAACACCTTCGGTTTACGTCACTGAACAAAAATATAAACCCAACACTTGTTTTTACTCCCATTTCTCATTTGAGCCCAAAGATCTAAGACTTGTTCTACGTACACAAAAAGGTGCACAGCTCTTCTTAGGCTGACCACAATAAAAGGCTACGCTAAAGGTGCAGTTTTCTCACACGGCATGAAGCCACATATGTCGTGGAGAGCATCCTGTGCTCCAGCATCAACGTGTGGCATGGAGGCTGCACAGAAGGTGTTGGAGTCAGCCTCTCCACCATCACAGACATCTACACCTCCAGATGCAGGAAGAGGGCCACCTGCATCATGAAGGACCACACTCACCCAGCATACACACTTGTTGCTCTCAGGAAGGAGGTTGAGGAGCATCAAGTGTAGAACCACTAGACTGAGGAACAGCTTCTACCCTGAGGCTGTTAGACTCATGAATCTCTAACCAGAACAATCACTGCACTGACACTTTAATTGGTGATATTTGACATGTCTGTGCTGCTGATTATCCATGCTGCTGATCTTATGCAGTTGTTTAATATACCGTATTATTTTACATTATTAGTATTTAGCATACATCTTAGATCGTTGTATACCGTTTCTTTTTATACTTTGATATTTTTGGGTGTGGGACCTTGAGTACACGATTTCGTTCCACCTCGTGTACCACGTGTGACGAGAATGACGATAACGAACCTTGAACTTCAGAGAATTTGGTAGTACATCCAACCAGTCTCACAGCAGCAGACCACATCAGCCCAGGACCTCCACATCCAGTATGTTCACCTCGAAGTTCATCTGAGACCAGACACCCGGACGGCTGCTGCGACGATCGGTTTCTTTCTTTCTACATAAACTGTCA